CCAGCGCGGAGGCTGCCCGCGCCCCGGACACCTCCGCGCGGAGGGGAGGCGCTGCGCGGCCGGGAGGCGGGCTGCCGCGGGGCGTTCGGGCCCCTCTCAGGCTCCCGCGCGCCTACACCGTGGGAGCCCCTGCGCTGTCGCGGGAGCCCGGGCGTCGGCCAGAGTGCGGAATTACTTGGGTCTGGAAGAAGGAAGGCGGGTCCTGGAAGGCCGGAGGCCCCAAGTGGGGCTGCGCGGGGCGGGCTCGGGGCGCGGCGCGGAGGGCCGCGCTGCAACTGACGGAAAGAGACGAAACTCGCCCGGAGGCGGCCGAAGGTGAGCGCCGGGGCGGCGACCCGTGGTAGCTCTTGCGCCACGTCCCGGTTCGGGGCTTTCTTGGGTCACCTTCTGTTGAGCTGTTCGCAACGCCGCCCTGAAGACCCCATGCCCCTTTCTCTTTCGCCACCTTCAGATCCACGCTTTGCTCTAGAAGCCTCTTTTCAAAGCCACTGACTGCGGGAAACGCAGAACTTCCAGGGAGTGCACGCCGCGGCAGGCCGATGGCGAGGATGCGCCGGCCAGACCCGGAATAAACTTTGGGGGGATGCCGGGAGGCCGCGAGCTGAGGGTTCTCTGCCCAGGTCCGGGTTCGCCAGACGCACTGCTCGGACCCTTCGACTCGGTGCAGGACTTCCGAGCCCCAGCTGTCGGCTCCCAGGGCTGCTGATCCCTTATCTCCATAGATTCCCGTGCTCCAGCACCCGCCCAGAACCGGCACACGTCTGCAGTCCTGCGTGTGGGAGGCACTTGCCTGACAGGCGGCTGGCTGATCGGGGTCCCTTGCGGAGGCGCTGATGCCTGGAATAGACAGTCTGCATTGAAAAGATTCGGTAGAATCTGTCCCCGTCTGACCTTTTGAGGCCAAGCCATAGGTCTCTGAACAGGCCCCACAAGAAACCCATGAGTGTGTAAGTGGGTAGACACCTAAGACACTGTGTAGTTTGTTTTCTCACGCTTTATTTCAGTCACTGTGTGTAATAGTGTATTACAGTAAATACCTACCAACCCGTCTAAACTTTGTGGTTCCTTGTGGTTCCTACCTACTTGGAAAAGGAAGATGTCTCAGTTACTTTTCTCTTCTTGCTGGAGGAAATACCCGACACTCAAAATTAAGGAAGTAAAGTTTTATTTAGTTCACAGTTACTGGAGGTTTCATTCCATACTCAACTAGCCCCAAGGCACACTGGCACACGGGCACACAGCAGAGGGCAGCACTTCAGAAGGCAGCAAAACAGAGCAAAAGAGGAGTAACAGCAACAATGGCTACAGAGAGCAAGTCTGTCTCTCTTGTCTCTTATGGTACCTTCAGGCTATCCACCCCGGGCTGGGTGCAGCACTCACACCCATAATCCCAGCCTTGGATGTGAATTAATCACAAACTGGAACTGTGCCTCACTGAGTGCTCGAGGCTTTGGGAGGACAAACACAAACCATATCAAGGGGGATCAAAACTTTGTAGCCCACTGACCCCGGCCCTACACAAATTTAAGTCAAAGCCTCATCTAGTTCACACTGGCTTTGAACTCACATGGAGTCACATACCTCGGCATCCCCGTGTACTGCGACTACAGGCATGTGTCCACACACCTGACTCCAATGATGTAATTTAAGAGATCTTAAGAAATAAAGGCAGCACATAGTTCATACCTGTAGTCTCAGTACTTAGGTGGCTAAGGCAGAAGGATCATAAATTCAAGACTAGCCTGGATGTGGGGACATCTAGTCTCAAAAAGGTCTTGAGAAACAAGTTACAAAGCTGCTAAATTACGGCCTGGATTCAACCTGGCTGAATCCCAAAAATAACAGTTTATCTTTCTCCTCCTTCCCCACTCCAGTCCTGGGTACCTTTCCTGGGCACACAAGGGAGCCCCCAATCCGCATTTTGTGTGTCACTGAACCTGCCCCTCTAACTCCCCCCCCCCCCATCAAAATCCCATAAAGTCTAACCCTTCTTGTCTCAGGTCAGAGGATCTCCCATCTCCCTGCCCATTATGCTCTCCAAGTCTTCAGAGTTAACAATAAAGCTCACCCCGCCCCTGTCCCCACTTTTTATTTCTGCTTCTCTGCTGTGCTGCAAAAAACCTAACATTTCCCTAGGGATGGCATCAGGGAGTGATATTCTAAATAGGTATTAATCACCTTGAAAGAGCCAGAAAGAGTCACTAACCCAAACCCCAACAGGCAGAGACTCTGTTATGTGTTCAAGCCCCCTTGCTACTTGACTCACCTCCTCATTTGGTCCTGGATTTAATCAATTTCACCTGAGCAATGGTACCTGCGACCATAGTTTTGTCCCTCCTAAGTGAGTTCCCACGATTTTATACCTTAGACCTGCCTCATCACATGGTTTTACTCTACAAAAATCCCTGGAAGAGACAGCTTCCTGGACAACCACCTAGGTCCACCTTCTGTCCCTCTCTCGGAAACTTTTTTCCCCCAATAAATATTATGTTGTTAACCTCTGTTCCTAAAATTCATTCTTCAATTTTAGAGAATACAAACATCGCAGGTACCTTTCAGACTGTGAATTTTATTCACCTATCATTGGCATGTGCCTGTAATCCCAGCACTCGGGAGTCTGAGGCAGGAAGATCATTGTGTGTTCAAGACTAGCTTGAAATAAATAAATAACAAAATATGAGCCGGCCAGATAGCTCAGCAGATTACAGCACCTGCTTACATAGACACAGGGACCAGGGTTCAATCCTGGGCTTGCTGTGCTGACCCCACCCCTGGGGCTTGATGAGACAGAGATTGAGACTGGGCATGGTGGTATAGGCCTGTAATCCCAGTGCTTGGGAGGCTGAAAACAAGAGGATCACTAGAAGTCCAATCTGTGTAGTGAGACCCTATAGACCCTGTACTAAATACATTCAAAAAATGAATGAATAAATAAATAAATAGACTAGCCTGAGCTACAAAGTGAGTTCAAGGTAAGCCTGAACTGCAGAACAAGACCCTGTCTCAAAAAGAAAAAAAAAAGTACAAAGTGATAGAGGAACAAAGGAATGAATGATTAGTTTTTCCAGTCCCCTTATCTGATGGTGCAAAATATGAGTAGAATGACCCTTGTAAACAAAGATCCTCTTTCATTTGTTTTTGTTTTGGGGGGGGCGAACCAGGGATTGAACTCAGACCCTTGCACTTGCCAGGGAAGTGCTTATTCCACTAAGCCATCTCCCTGGCCCCTAAAACATTTGTTTTTGTTTTTAAGATCCTCTTTCATAATAGTTTTACACACCTGAAGTCACTCAGGAAATGCCTTCATTATGGAACCTCATGCAAAGCCAATGTAGGTTCTTTGGATGCCAAATAAAGTCCCAATTCTTGAAAATGCCAGTGTGTCGGGACAGTCATGATGCCTCTCCTAAGTGATCTTGGTCTAACAGGCAAAATATATGTAGATAGCCCATTCAAAGAGAAATGAAATAAAAGAAAAGCTGTGCTTAGTGATGCAAGCCTATAATTTCAGCTCTCAGGAGACAGAAGTGGAGGGTCCATAGTTCAAGGCCAGCCTGAACTATATAGCAAGACCCTGCCTCAAAAAGAAGTAAAAAAGGGGGTCAGGGAGATGGTGGGGCCGGGGAGATGGCTCAGTGGAATAAGCGCTTCCCTAGCAAGTGCAAGGGCCTGAGTTCAATCCCTGATTCAGCAAAAAAAAAAAAAAAATCAATTATGAGGAACATTTGGCCCAATCTATAAAGCCTAGTGAAATATCACTGGGTGGCAGAATATCCAAAATATTATATTATTTAAGATGAATATGTGCTTTATCATTGTATTTTAAAGCAAATAAAGGCGTTTCACACACAATGGAGGGCTGGAGATGTGGCTCAGTAGTAGAGCCTTTATTTAGCATATAGGACACCATGGGTTTGATCCTCACTACCACAGTATGAACAAATCACTGGAAATCTAATGAGATGGAGAAAATTGTATTTGGTGGATTTCCTCCAAAAGAAAATCTGAATGTAGTTGGAGAAACATTTTGCTAAATCCCTGCCTTGAAGTAGCAATAGTGGAGCCTCAAAAGACATCTGCTCTCTAAAAAGGAAAAGATCCCATAGATGTCTTGCTGAACAGAGTTAGCAAGAGGGGAACTGTAATTCATGGCCCATTTTCACTCTTTTTCCATGTAGCATTCAATCTTTCTAAAAAAAAAAAAAATTAGACAACTGTTTCAAAAATACTTTTTTGGAGGGGCTGGGGAGATGGCTCAGTGGAATAAGTGCTTCCCTGGCAAGCACAAGGGTCTGAGTTCAAGCCCCAGTTCTGAAAAAAAAAAAAAAAAACCTTTTTTGGGGCTGGGCATGATGGCACTCACTTATAATACCAGCACTCAAGAGGCTGCTGAGGCAGGAGGACAGTTCTAAGTTCAAGACCAGCCTGAGCTACAAAGTGAGTTTAAGGCCAACCTGAATTGTATATCAAGACTTTGTCTCAAAAGGATGGATATATATATATATATATATATAATTTTTCCCCTGGGTCTGGTAGCACACACCTGTAATCCCAGCACTCCAGAGACTGAGGCAGGATTGCCACAAATTTGAATCCAGCCTGAACTGCATAGTGAGACTATCTCGTTTTTAAAAAACGGGGTGGGAGGGAGACTTCCTTTGTCACTCATTTTTTTTCTTTTTTTTTTCCTGCCTCAGGTTTATTTATACAAAGAGCACAGGAGGACACCCGCCCCACACAGATAGCACCCCAGAGGTCACACCAGTCCTTATGATTTTAACATCAGCAGATAAGAGGCTTTTATTTCGGAGCCTTTACAGGGGCGTGGGCACCTTTGGGGGCCTTGGCTGGAGCAGAAGCTGGAGGCTGGGCCTTGGCTGGAGGCTGGGCCTTGGCTGGAACCTGGGCCTTTGGCCAGCAAGGCCTGTGACCCTTGGCAATGCAGGCACAGATAAGCTGCCCAAGCTTGGGGTGGCAATATAGGCAAGTCCAGCGAGTCTGCAGTTTACTCCTTTTGGAATGAACTTGGGCTTGACAAGGGCATTGATAGCCTCGGTGCATGCACTCATGGCCTTGGCATTGTTTGCCTGCATCTTCTTGAAGCCCTTTTTGTTGTGCTTCTTGGTAAAACACATGTTTCTAAGGAATTTGGGATCTACCCCTTCAGAGATTCATATCTTTGTGACCAAGGTTTCTTGATGCCATTTTTGGGACTGCCATTTTGCGTGGTGTGGTTCTTGGACTTGGCCATAACTGCATTGTCAACTGCAGTAACCAAGCATCTGCAACAAGAAGATGATGTCACTGGTTTTCTTAAGAGTGATACTGGGGGTTGAATTCCAGGCCTTTGAGCTACATCCCCACCCCTTCTTTAATTTTTTGTTTTGAGAAAGTGTCTTGCTACATCACTCAGCTGGGCTGGAACTCATAATCCCCAGTCTCAAAGAATATTAGGATCATAGGCCTGTGCTCTTATACCCAGCTTGCCATTTTTCTTTATATTACATGTACATTTTCTATTGTACTAGTATATTTTACTTCATCATAAAATGAATTGAGCGCAACATATAGATACATATATATGCAACATATAGATACATATATATTTCTCCCCCCCCCCCCCCGAACCGGGGATTGAACCCAGGCCCTTGCACTTGCCAGGGAAGCACTTATTCTACTGAGCCAGATCCCTGGTCCCTGCAACAGATTTGTGATCTACTCTGAAGAAAACACAAAATAAACAAGTTTCTGAAGTTATTAGAGTGTCTATTACAGATTTTAAAAGCAAATTAAAATCACTTTAACATCAAAGGAGGGTCTGGGTGTGTAGCTCATTGGAAATGTTTGGCTAGCATGTTGAAGATCCTGGATTTGATCTCAAGCACCACAAAATGTAAGTAGTAAAAATAAAATAGCATCCATATACCTCAGTTCAGCTTTTAGGGAATTAATTTATCCTAAGTTATCTAATGACTGATTGCCAGAAAGAGAAATCATGCCTTTTGTGTGTGTGTGTGCTGGAAACTGAAGTCCGGACCTTGGATTTACCAGGCAGGCACTGTGCCTCTGAGCTATATCCCCAGCCCCTAAAGTGAAATCATGCTGGGCATGGTAATACATGCCTATAATCCCAGCAATTGGGAGGCTGAGGCAAGAGGATCACTATAAGTTCAAAGCCAGCCTGAACTACACAGCAAGATGCTGCCTCAAAAAAGAAATTTAAGGGGGGGCCAGGGAGATGGCTCAGTAGAATAAGCGCTTTCCTGGCAAGCGCAAGGACCTGAGTTCAATCCCCGGTTCTGAAAAAAAAAAAAAAAAAAAAAATTAAGAGATGATTAGGGCAGGCCAGCTAGTTCAGCAGATTAAAGCACCTGCTTAGGCAGATGCAGGAGCTGGGGGGCAGGCTGAGATGGTGATTGAGACTGTGGGCATAGTGGTGCACACCTGTAATCCCAGCACCTGGGAGGCTGAAAACAGGAAAATCACTATAGTTTTATCTACTTGAGTTTCTGTAGACTCTGTATTAAATACATTTTAAGAAAGAGATGATGATTTGATCTTTACTGTGACCAATATAATCTGCAGGTTTTAACCTAATGTGATATTTACAAATTGATCTCTGAGTGCTTTTTGAGAGGGTTGGTTGCTTGTTTGGTGGCAATATCCAGCACTGAACCCAGGGCTCCATATGGAGCTACATCCTCAGTCCTTTATTTTTATTATTATTGTTTTGAGACAGGGTGTCACTAAATTGCATATTTGCCTAAACAGGGCTCCAATTTGCAACCCTTTGCCTCTGTCTCCCAGAGTGTTGGGATTGAAGGTGCATGTGCATTGGCTTTCCTCTGCCCTTTCTCTTTTTACTTATTTGTTTTAAAATTTGAGATAGAGGGGCTGGTGAGATGGCTCAGTGGTCTAAAGCACCTACTTAGAACAAGCTTAGCAAAGCCCAGGGACCATGGTTCAATCCCCCAGCACCGCATGCCAGCCAGCCCCGCCCCCTGCTGGGCTGAGCTGGCCACACACACA